GGATGAGGATGCTGCGAGTGCGTGGGATGAGGATGCTGCGAGGCATCCCACGCGCTCGCAGCATCCTCATCCCACGCACATCCCATGCACTCACAGCATCCTCATAGGATGCTGCGAGGCGTGGACAGAAGGGGAGAAGGAAAGGGGAATGCGGTTAGAGTGGAGCCATAGGACAGAGAGAGAGAGAGAGAGACAGGGAGAGAAGGCTAGAGGGAAGGATTAGAGCAATGCGTCACTAGATTGGGAGATAGAGAGAAAGATATGGAGCATGCTCTTTGAGTGGGTCAACGCAAGGTACAGTATTGCAACCAGTCTATCTTGTGGACACTGAAAGTAAGGTACGATGTTCCAACCAGTCTATCTTGTGCTACCTGTAAGTAAGGTAAGGTGTTCCAACCAGTCTATCTTGTGCTACCTGTAAGTAAGGTACGGTGTTCTGACCAGTCTACCTTGTGCTACCTGTAAGTAAGGTAAGGTGTTCCAACCAGTCTATCTTGTGCTACCTGTAAGTAAGGTACGGTGTTCTGACCAGTCTACCTTGTGCTACCTGAAAGTAAGGTAAGGTGTTCTGACCAGTCTACCTTGTGCTACCTGAAAGTAAGGTAAGGTGTTCTGACCAGTCTACCTTGTGCTACCTGTAAGTAAGGTACGGTGTTCTGACTAGTCTACCTTGTGCTACCTGAAAGTAAGGTACGGTCAGTGATGATTATGACTTACCTGTCCATCATCTCAGCTGGTCCCTGGTCCATGCCGACGATGTCACGCTCCTGCGCTACAGCATCATAGAACGCATCCTCCCAGAACTGCATCTGGTCCCACAGCGCCGACCGGTCCTTGTCTGTAATGCAGCAATGTGAAAATGTCGCTCGCTCGTTGATTGCCATTGTCAGCCGAAAGTCGTTTATTTTTTATCGTTATTTATTACTGTCGTTATTCGTCGATGTTATTTGCTTGCGGTACAACGTTATTTAGATTTCATGTTAAAAAACTTTCCTGTGAGTTTTCCAAGACTGCGTGCGAGTGCGTGGGATGAGGATGCTGCGAGCGGGTTGGATGAGGATGCT